TTCTCCAATTAACAAATTTTATAATTTCTAAAAACATATCCCTAATTTATAATTACATTTACTAGTTATATACTGAAACTTTTACTGATGAGATTGCTCACATATTTTAACACAAATTATTCAAAATCTTGGTCTTTCCCACATTTGCTCCTTAATTTGTTACCTCCTATCACGAACATTGGAAGTCATGATAATATGCTCCTACTTGAATGTATCTCACCACAATTCATGGTTTTTCCCCCCCAAAAATTTTTTGTTAAAATGCCTTTTATTGTCTTATACCTCATTTGTTTTTGCAATAAAAATATTATTTTAAAAAAAATTAAATGTTAGTTATTTTACTTTAAATTATTTTTTGATAATTTTTTATCACTTTGATGTATCAATGTTAAGGATAGATTTTAAAAAATAAAAAATATTATTCTAATATATTTCTAAATAAAAAGTATTTAAAAAAGTAATCATGATCGTAACATCAAATACTTTTTTAATAAAAAGTTGAATAATTTCATCATAAAATCAGTAATATATTTTTAAATAACAAAGGCATTTAATTCTTGAATTATTTTTTTGTTTTATTAATTCTTAAATGATTTTAAAAGCATACTTCTCAAGCCAATACAATTTTAAAAAATTTAAATAAAATCTATTAAATGCTTATTTTATGATTTGAAAACAGAAAGTCGAGAAGAAGTCTGTAGTAACAATTTTAAATTGTAATTAGATATCGTAAATATCTATTTAAATTATAAATAAACCATATTTTGAAATATCTATTAAATAAAAAAGTAATGCTAAATTATGTATTTTTTTTCAAAAACATTGTAGAGTGGTGCACATTCTTCGAATTTAAAATATATAAGAATTAAGATATGTTTAGAAAAATTATGGCTATAATTTTTAATTTTAAAAAATTATAATTTTTAAAAATAACATATTAAATATAGATTGTGATATTAACTTTTAAATATACTTATAGAATTGGTTTAGTATTAAGGTAATGATTTTTTTACAGTAATTTTTATTTAAAAATATATTAAAATAATGTTTTTTAATTTTTTTTATATCAATATATAAAAATAATTAAAAAATATTAAAAAAATGATTTTTTAAAAAATTACTTTTAAAATTCAAAAATAAAGGGACAAAGATGATTCATTTAATATTTCTTCAACTACGGATGAGCTTTGTTTGCTGGAGTCACCCCCACCATCACCACCGATAACCACTTCAATTGGGGGCAAATCAATATCAATCAGACAAAAGATGGATCATTAACACAAGGCTCGGAGCACTGAAATGTTACGTCATGTGTTTTTTCCACGTGTCATGATATTAATGGTGGTGTGGAAAGTGGTGCTTACGTTGGCCGTTTCCTCCCGCAAGCTACATTCGTAACCCAACAAAATAGCAACCGGTGGCATTTGTCTCGTGTAAAAGAATAAGAAAGCAACAGGCAGAGAGTAACCAAGATTTTTGGCATCTCCTCCATTTCTGGTTCTTGGGCTGCTCTCTTGTCCCTTCATTTCTCCTTTCCTCTCTATATTTCTTCTCCTAACTTCCCAAATAGCAGGGAAATGAGTTAGGTCGACGAGTGCAGGCCAGGTGATGATATCACGATATAAAAGGCTGTGAATTCTATTGCTTTGAGAGAAAATCTTCTTGTTTGGTATTTTGTTTTTCAAGATTTAGGTAGACAGAGGGAGAGAAAGCTAAATCTGTGAGCGATTGGTTCTTTCAGAGAGAGAAACAAGAATAGCCTCTTCCTCTTTGTCAGGAAAAACCTGGGGTACTTTTCCTTACACCGTCACATGTATTTAATATCCACCTTAGAAAATCCAGGGAGGGAGAATACAATTACAGTTTCGTGTTCATCCATTTTTACAAGTTCTGTGAGTGTGTGCGTGTTTGTGTATGATAAAGAAAAACAAGAAGTGGATCTGTGTTAATAACTGAAGATATTGAGTTGTTCGGGGGATGAGAGTGAGATCTTAATGGATTTTTGGCCAGAGTTTCTTGCTAGCAGCTGGGGTAGGGAGTTTGTGGCTGGTGGATTTGGTGGAATTGCTGGTATAATTTCTGGTTATCCACTTGATACTCTACGTATTCGGCTACAGCAACCTAATTCTGGCTCCGCCTTCAGTATTCTTCGCCGAGTTATGGCCGGAGAAGGGCCCGCTGCTCTCTACAGGGGCATGGGTGCACCCCTTGCATCCGTCACCTTCCAGGTAGGGCACAACCTTTTTCTGTGCATACAGTATAGGCTATAGTCTTATCTTTCCATGTTTATTTTATGTTTGCAGAATTATAATTTGAATACAGTTTTGTTATAATCTTCTGAATATTTTATTGTTGGGATACCTTGGAATGGGATCGCATGGAGGATTAGCACCTTATCATGATTATGTCATGTTTTCAATCTTGTTTGTCCCAAGGGTAAGAGAGTTTGGTTTGGATTTTGACTCCGCCTTTTATTTTATTGTATTTGGATATTGAAGTTGATGTTAGGTGAAAAAACTTGGTGAGATTTTAGTTCTCTTATGATGACCAGCATAGTCTTGGATTGTTTTGTTTTTGGCAATATTTTACTATTTTTTGGTAGTTTAATGTAAAAACTTGGGAAGATTTTAATAAAAAAATATTGTTTTAATGTATTTTTAATTAAAAAATACTTTATTATTTTTATGTCTTTTTAATTAAAAAATACTTTAAAAAACAAACAACTGTGATTTGAAAAGCAACCTCTTCTGATGAATATGCTCTTGGTACTTTAAGATAAGAACAGCAAGGTCATTCTCAGGAATTTGGCTGCCAATAACAAGCCCTGCTTACGTGATAATGTTGGTGGTAGCTTATTATGCCTCCTCCATACTTGCTCTCGTGTGAATAATGGATCTTATTTCCTGATTTTGTTTTCCAACTTACAAAGCAAGCTTTGGGACTTTTCACTTCCGGTGCTAAAGAAAAATTGTTATAAGTACTCAGACCTGACCAACCAGTTAAATAGATGATCATTGTCTTTGCATCGCATATGCTCGTTCTGGCACACTGAAAATGTTGTTCACGGTTTGCAGAATGCCATGGTTTTCCAGACCTATGCTATCCTCTCGAGAGGGTTTGACTCGTCCGTTTCAGCTAGTGATCCTCCTTCTTACAAAGGTGTTGTTCTAGGAGGAGTTGGTACTGGGGCCATCCAGAGCATTTTGCTTTCTCCTGTAGAACTGGTAAAAATTCGCCTCCAATTGCAGAACATAAGTCATGCAAATCTCCATGAGGCTGCTAGTCATAAGGGTCCATTAAGTGTTGCCAAGAGCATACTGAAAACAGAAGGTCTAAAAGGAATTTACCGGGGTTTTGTGATCACTGTCCTCAGAGATGCACCTGCTCATGGTGTATACTTTTGGACATATGAGTACATGAGAGAGCAGTTTCACCCTGGCTGCAGAAAGAATGGTCAGGAAAACTTAAGAACCATGCTGACAGCAGGAGGGCTAGCGGGAGTTGCAAGCTGGCTCTGCTGCTATCCATTAGATGTTGTGAAAACCAGATTACAAGCTCAAACACCATCATCATCATCCCCACTCAAGTATAAAGGCATTCTGGATTGCTTTCGCAGGAGTGTTAAAGAAGAAGGTTACTGCGTGCTTTGGAGAGGTTTGGGGACTGCCGTTGCAAGGGCTTTTGTAGTCAATGGAGCTGTATTTGCTGCTTATGAGATTGCATTGCGGTGTCTATTCAACAATGGAAGCATTCAAACAGAGAACACTATCTAGGAAAAATTTATCTTTTGTCAACAGTAATTGACTTGTATCTGTTGTAATTATTCAATGGCAATTTTATAAAAGAACAAACCAGTCAAAGAATTCAAAGAATTACGTATGATGCATCAGGAAAAATTTGTTTTCATCTGCTTGATTTCTCTGTATCTGTACAGAAGCATCGAAAATAACCGGCCATTGGAGTCCATCATCCTCACTTACAGTATCATCCAGCTCAGCTAATTTCCACCGACATACACCTGGAATCCTGGATAGCCTGAACTACAACCGTGCTCATGGACTCCAAAAGTTCTCAATTCAATAAACATCTTGATCAAAACGAGTTGCCTTAACAGCTACATGCATGAGCTTGCAGGAAAAAATTGTCTGCAAGATCACAGAATGCCTCGCTTTCTGTGAAAATCTGAAAGCCCCATCTTCATTGGTGTTGGTAGTATCTTTTCCTTTTCAATTTGAATTTAGTTCAAGTTTCTTCATTGTTGACCTTGTGATATTCCTCACTGTCTCAACAATGTTAACCAAACTGACCAGCACCGCTACATAAATACAATCGGGTGCTCTCGATCTTAACAAGTTTTTCATTCTCATCAATTTAAGTTACAAGAACCATTCCCACTATCTTAGCTTCAAGATTTATCAAGTACATGCAAATATCAAACTAATGACATTACGATAACTGTAATCATTCACTTGCTAAGAAGGATCAGGCATGCAAGATTTACCATGATGAAAAACAACACAACACGAATCAGCTTCCTCTGCAATATCTGTATGTTCTCCATCCGCTATGACTCTTCCATGTAGCATTTGGGCAAATACCAACTTGAATAAGAATCGATCCTCTTTGTTAATCATAATGCAGCAGCGGTTACAAACCAATATGGCTCCATTAGCTATTGCCGAATGCCTGTACTTGAATGACAGGTGATGTAGGAAATTGAAGAAGATATAATAATGCGCGGGCAATGCTTTAATTTGTTGTTCTTTAGGCATCGAGAACATCTAAACCTTGGGAACAGAATGGAGACGGAGTATCTACTTAATGAATTTCAAAAGCTTCAGAGGTAGGTAAGGGTGGATTCAATCAGTTGTATCTTACAGTAAAGTGGCCTCACAGTTTGATTGCTTGTTAATGAGTAGCTACGTGGATTTGATTCCCTACTGTAATTATCATATGAATGCTCAAGTTTTTCAGGAATGCAAGGCTTAGAGCAGGAAAAAGGATAAGTATGCTGATGAACCAGCTTATTCTAATTCAAATTTGTATTTTCACACACAGAGATGCAACATCCAACATACTGATTTAATGACAAAACAAATAGAACAAGAAACATTAACTATGCCTCAGCCATAACCTTGAAAAAAAGGACCTCAAAGCATAAAAGCAAGATACACACTAGCAAGTGGATCCGCTACTCTCCACCACGACCAAACTGTTCAATCCTGTCCTCGCTAAGATTAAGTTCTGCCATTGAATCCTCCAATCCACAGCTGCTCTCAACCAAAACATGAGGATCATTATAATGCCTAACGGCCTGCACTATGCCCCTCACTCTCTTGTACGGATCAGCAGAATCAAAAACCTCGCTTCCCACAAAAATCCCATCACATCCCAATTGCATCATTAGTGCAGCATCAGCAGGCGTCACAATACCTCCTGCAGCAAACTGCACAACAGGCAACCTTCCCATCTGCTTAATCTGCGCTACAAGATCATAAGGCGCAGCAATCTTTTTCGCAAACGCAAAAACCTCGTCCTCATCCATATTGTTCAAAACCCTCACCTCCTTCATAACATTTCTCACATTCTTCACTGTCTCAGCAACATTACCTTGGCCTAATATCTCCCCTTGTGTCCTTATCATCGCCGCGCCTTCTCTCACTCTCCTTAACGCTTCACCCAGATTTCGACACCCACAAATAAATGGGCACCTAAAGTTATGCTTGTTAGTAAAATTATCCTCATCTGCTAGGGCAAGCAACTCACTCTCATCGATATAATCAACTCCAATAGCTTCCAGTATCTGCGCCTCAACAAAATGACCAACACGAGCACGAGCCATTAGAGGAATCGAAACCGCCCGTTTTATCTCCTTGATAAGAGATGGGTCAGGCATTCGCCGAATTCCTTGGTGTAGCCCTGGCTCTGAAACCATGATAGAACAAGCACCAGCTTCTTCTGCAATCTTTGCTTGCTGTACGCTGGAGACCTCGAGAATGGCCCCGCCACGAAGCATTTGAGCTAAACCAGCCTTGATGGAAAAAGGGTTCTTCTTGGCATCTGTAATGGCGCTGTTATTGTAGAGAGTCACAGCTCCATCGTCAGCCATCGCTAATTGTTTGAGAAATAGCCTGAGAGAAGAAAATTACAAGCGATTGAGGAAACAAATGTTGGATTAGTTCAAAGATAGTTATGATGGTCCTGATATAGGAAGAGGAAATGCTCTAGAAGCTTCAATATTTGGGTTTCCTGGTCGGATTAGTCGGTGGAAAATTGAAAGTGTGGAAAGTTCGATTCCATTCTCTCTCTCTTCTTTGTTTTTTCCGATTTCATTGAATTTAAGGGGTGTTTGGTGGTGCCGTTTACCTGCAGATTTGTAATTTTTTTTATTTTTTTAGATAATTTTTATTTGATATTAAAAATAAAATTTAAAGATAAAAAAAATCAAATTTTTATAGAGGTACATTATCATATTTGTATCTATTATTATTATTATTACTATTATTATTACTTGTATTATGGTATATATTATTATTATTATTACTATTATTATTACTTGTATTATGGTATATATTATTATTATTATTACTATTATTATTACTTGTATTATGGTATAGGTAAAATTTCAAGTTAATTTTGAACATAATAAAAGAATGTATTAATATTATAAAGATGATATGACCAAAAAATTGATGTATTTTTCAAAGTGCAGGAGTGTCAAAAAAATAAATAATCCGACAAAAACTGGGGTCGAACCATAGATAGGTTAATTGAATAAATTATAGATAACAATAATACAATAACAACAATAATACAATAACAACAACAATAGTAACAATAATAACAATAAAAATAAAAA